TTTTTTTTTTTTTTTTTTTTTTTTTTTTTTTTTGTGATGCTCTCGATGTGATAAATTTGGAGAAAAAATTTTCTTTTTTTTTTTTTGTTAATAAATACACTTATGTTACGTTACTCAGCATTATTGTCATAATTTCGCTTGGGAAGCAACATAAAATGTAATTCTTTGTCATGTTGGCTACCGCCAATGCACAGTGGACGGGTAAAGCCCGACTACAGCGTGGATGGTGTGTTTGTAGTGTTTCAGGAGTGAGGATTATGGGAAATAGGGTGTGGAAGGTGCTGATGAAATACTGCAAGTTCGTGCTGTCTGTGACAATACCAATAACTAACCACTGATTGAAAATTTTCATGGGATCTTAATTATGAGTGCATTGTTGTTGCGATGTGGCAATAGTGTCGAAAATGGTTGGTATTGCGTGGAGTGTTAGTTAGCAATCAAAAATACAGATTAGAAAGCTCAGATTAAATAGCTGCCTGGCAATGCGCCAAAGTGTTTGATTCTTCCGCTTATATTACAGCGGAGTAATTCGCAGTCACAAGAATTTGCTTACTTTGTTTCCGATATAGTGCAGGCAACATGAGCAACAACAAATTGACAGTCTTGTTGAAGCATCCGTTTTGGCTTTCCACTGACAACTACAACAGTTTGCTGCTGACTGTCTGCTTGTCTGAATGTGTATGGAGAAATGTATAATTTGCAGAACGATTTTGCGTATAATTTTGTAGTTTTGATAAAGCTGTTGGTTTTGGGCATGGAAGGAAAACCGAAAAATTACTTTTAATTTGGACTATTCTTATACTTTGGTGTAATGCTAAATTTTTTGCTTCTAATGCTGTGACATTGATTTGTAAAAGTGCTGAATACAATTTGCTCATTCGTGAAAGTAAAACTATGGATATGTTGTTTTCTGAAATTGATTTATTGCGTTAACTGTTTGTTTCTGTATTTCTTTTCTGTTAATTTTTATGAAATAAGAAGAGCGAGAAAGAAAATGTACTGAATTTTAACTTTTTTTTGCTTTTTTTTTGACCGAATAAGAAGATTACATGAAAAAGAGAGGAGAAAAAACTGGTAGGAAGAAAGAAAAAGAGACGGAACGAAATATGTCAGTATTTTTTGATGGTATTTTGTAGAAGTTTTGCTACTTACTATGATAATGTGAACATCCACCGTAGCATTCTT